TATATATATATATATATATATATATAAAAGTGGAACAAATGTCAGTGACAATGGTAGCTCTGAGTCTACAGGAGAAATGGGATTGTCCTCAGTTTATTGTCACTAAAAAGGCATGGAAGCAGGCAAAACCAGGTAGACATATATTTCCTCAAGGAAAAGTTTTAAAGAAGAGTTTTCTTCGTAAGGTAATAATAAGCTTTATTTATGTGGAAACCCCCTTTTCCTAAGAATGCTGTCAACATGAAACATTATTGGGGTTTATTCCAGAAATGCAAAGTTAGTTAATATTTAAAAACCAATGAATGTAATCCATCATATTAATAGAATAAGAGAGAAAACCCATATGGTCATCTCAGTAACGTTGAAAAACTATTTTATAAAATTTGAGATCTAGTCATAAAATGCAAAAGCTCAGTAAACTAGGAATACATAAGCTCAGTGAACTAAAAATAGATAAAGTATATTTACAAAAAAGCTAGAATAACATCATGTTGTTCTAATGGTGAAATATTGAATGCTTTCCTGGTCAAGGAATAAGAAAAGAAAATCCATGATCAACATTTCTATTCAACATTGGACTAGAAAACGTAACCAGTACAATAGGCAAGAAAGATAAATTAAAGCATAAAGACAGGAAAGGGAAAGTAAAGCTATCATTATTCATAAATGACATGACTGCATGCGTAGAAAAGCCCAAAGAATCTGATAATAAATTGAAAGAATGAGTGAACTTAGTAGGTCACTGGATTCAAGGTTAATGTACTGAAAAACAATTCTATTTCTACATACACAAACCAATTTAAATATAAAATTTAAAAACCATTATCAATACAATCCCTTTGGAAAAATAGTTTAGTACTTTCTTAAAAAATTAAATGTACACCTACCAGAATATCCAGCCATTTCGCTCTTGGTGTTTTACCCAAGAGAAAGAAAACCATATGTTTATACAAAGACTTGTACAAATGTTCATAGCAGCTTCATCTGTAATATCCCCAAACTGAAAACAACCCAAGTGCCCATTGAAAG